AAGGCCTAAGCCAGAACATCAAAAGGGGTAATGGAGCACCTGAACGTGAGAACCACTGGCTTAGAATCATGAGCAAACGAATAATACAATTGCATCATCGATGAGTTCAGTTCAAAACCAATTACCGAACAGAACACTCAAAATCTCCAAGTTTTTCCAACTGTTCCATTCTTGATTTCCTTTAATGATCAGAATTTTCAGGTAAAAGCACCAATGTTTCCGTAGCTGTATATATTGAATCAATGTCTTCGTTTAAAGCTCAGACCATGGTTTGTTACTTCCTGATGCTATTAGAAGCCTTGCATTATCCATTCAGAACAACCTAAAATTTCTCTTCACTCTGAAAATGATCTACAGATTACACATCATCAATCATGACTTCACGCTTGCAATAAATACAGTGGGGATATCGATTGAGAGAATTTTGCGGTGCTTACTTCAATGTCACTTCCGTGATCAACAATCGTAACTCTGAAGTGCTTCTTTTGATACAAATCATAAGAAAATTTCGCTGAGTCATTAGGAAATCCGCTTCTAATGTTCCAATACCACTTCCGAGCCAGCAAAATGATCGTTGCGTAAATACGGAACAAATCAACTGAAAATATTACATGAAATACAGCTATTTGGTTGTTTACTTCTCTTGCGTTACGCAATTGCATCTCATCAAAACATTTCCTTATTCTATTTAAAAAATTTCCTCATTTAAGCTACAACTCTGCTTTAAGACCAAAACGGTTAACGTCATTACTCTTGAAAATTACACAAAAACGCGCACTGAAGCAAGCGTGCATTGGAACAATTGAAATATTGTTGTATCATGCTTTCTCGCTCAGAAAGAAGTCGTTCCAAATGATGAAATTCAAAGTAGATCTCAACAATTAATTGGTTGACTCAATAAGTGGACAAATTTAAATAAAGAAACATCAATAATGCAATAAATAAATGAATATAAATGAGTGGAAATAATTTTTCGCATTCTGAATGAATGTGAAATGATTAGTTAGTAAGTAATTAAATAAACGAATGGAGCCGAACACCAGAGTTATTCGACTGACAATAAGTTTTCGCATAATTGATGATTGGATTGCAGGATTTCGAAGTGGATATGTATTTGGCGCTAGGATGGTACGATCGAAGGCTGGCGCATAATTGCACACATCCGATTCTGGTGGCACACAAATTCATCGCTGACCGTTTATGGCATCCTGACTTGTATTTTGTTAACTCTAAATTCGCCTACCTCCAAGAGGTCACCACACCCAATTTTATGGTGATCGTTTATCCAGACGGTCTGATCTTCAAGTCGATGAGGTAGGTCGTTTGCTCGACATCTCAACTTGAACTGTTCATACTTTTCGATACTCAAAATTCCATCCATCCTCTATTTTTCAACTCCATATCCATACTTGTTTCTCAATGATTTCTATGCAAGTCATCAAATTTCTGTGATCATAGAGCACACCGCTTAGAATATACTAAGCTGCAGCTTTTATAGAGGAGAGACGTGAAAGACATGCATGTAGCCACACTGAAAGTTTTGAATTAAATTGTTTACAGCATATATCTGATGGTAACTCATCAATTAAACTGTTTACTGATTTTTACAGCGATGTGCGTACTAAAAATAGAATCGAGTATTTCAGGATAGACGTGACGTTGTCATGCATGATGGATTTACAAAGGTTTCCAATGGACAAACAAGAATGTCCCCTAGTGATACAGAGCTGTACGATTTGATCTTCAGTTTCTGATGTTTTATTCATTGAAATATACCATAAGCTGGCATTAATCATTCATTATCTTCAACTGCATACAGCAGCACAGAATGATATTCCTATATACCTCGATGGAAAAGCATTCGATTGAATCGCTAATTGTCTCTTCAGCATTCTCATGCAAACAGTTCAATAAACAAAACAGATTGTTGGAAGAGTGCATCTCGAGTTCAACATTTCCTGCTTTTCAGTTCATAAATTACTTCTTCTCACTCAAATTCCCTCTGATTAGATCAAAGAATTTTCGAAAAACAAAGTTCGGAGGCAACAAATCAGCATGACGAGATTAAAAATTTGATTGAGTTCTATCGGCATGTTCGTGACAATTCACTTCTGAGCTAGAAACTCAAAATTCTTTCCGTTTTATCGAAAAATTCTCAGCGCTTATTGAACAGTTATCAATCGTCAGCGAATATCGCCTGAATATCGCGATTACGCAATTATGTTCGAGTTCAATGCTTTCTTTCAGTAGGAAGCATGCGATAAACACTGCCGAATACAAATTCCCCCTCATCTAGTTTCTCCTCGTATTACATCAATACCATTGAGCATATACACACTACCGTTTGCCTAAACCTTTTCATTCATAATATTTGCAACATTAAAAACTCATTAATCGCAAGTGAAGCGATACAAATGGATTCATTTCTTGAATCTACTTTTTCTCCTTCAGCCTTTGAATTATCAATTTACCTTGCATCTGGGAATTTCATACGTAACTGAATGTCCAAAACGCTGAAAAAAAGCATGATCGAGCATATCCACCAAATTTCTCTCAAGTGAATTAAATTTACTGCAAGCGTGTCAGTTGTTAACCATTTTGCCTTTTTACTGATGCGAATGAATTCCACGCATTTACCAGTTTTTGTGCTCTCTTTAGTGCCCGAATTTAGCTAAAGTTTTTTTGTTTCATTTACAGATGCATATGTTGAGAATATATTAAATTTGACTTGGCACGAGGATCCACCATACTTCCCAATTGGAAGCAATAGTGAGATCAAATTGAATGATATGGTCATCACGAATACAAGATTTGAAAAATGCAGTGGACCGTATCCAATGTTTCGTGGCTCAGGTTCATATTTTTCCATTTCATTCTGAGGCCCTGAAAGTCTACCTCAAAATCATTTTCGTGTGACGAATCAGGAACTTTTTGGAACCAATCAGTTCGTTCACATTCATCATCGAAAAGGACACTTTGATAATCATGCGAATTTAATCATACCGATCCATCGCTTATCATGGAATACTTCACGATTATATCCTCAATTTCTGGGTGTTTAGTTGCCGTAAAATTTTGAGGCTAATTTAATTATCGTGAAATTCTGAGGTTAAATTTGACAACAACTGTACAGAAAGTCCCAATACGTCACTCTTTTTCAACAACATTCCGGTATTGAAGTATGCTCTGAGGAGAAGTTATCATTTCAAGGTAATTGGTCGTGTATTCGTGCGTTGATAGTAATGAGGCGTCTGGTGCTCTTTCATATCATTCAAACGTATATTCCAACCGGAATGCTAGTCTCAATCTCATGGATGAGTTTCTGGCTGGATCCACGAGCCTCACCGGCAAGAGTATCGCTAACGATCACTTCACTTCTCACACTCACAACGATGAGTAACGGAGCTAGGCAAGATCTACCGCAAGTCAGTTTGATCTGTTCAGAAATTTCAAATTATCTTTTTGTATTCTGCAATATTACCTGGATTGGCCAGGTTATCGAACGTTTGTAACGTTGTTGGCCACAATGCATTTCCATTCGGTTGTTGACCTTGCCTTCTTTGGCCAGGTGTTACCCAGTTCCTTCGTAATATCATTTTTCCATCTTATTGAAAGTTTCCCGATTGTTCATTTTATTTCCGTTGGATATCTCCCGAGTAAATCTAATGATCTGGACTACCAACAGCCAAGGGAACAAGCAGGATTTCGAAGAAACTACAGCACGATGGATCATATATTTGCCCTGACTCAGCTAATAGAACGGGCAAGAGAATATAGATTACCTCTTTGTCTTGCATTCGTTGATTATGAAAAGGCTTTTGATAGCGTCGAGATAAATGCAGTGCTGAAATCTCTCGAGGAGCAGGGAATCGAGGCTCAATACATCAATTTGCTCAAAGAAGCGAACTCGCATTGCACCACCGATATAAACC